CTCTCCACCCCCATCCCTCTCTCTCTCTCCACTTTATTTCATTTTTTAAAAAAATTTCCTCTTTATTTTTGGGCTTTATGCCTCTCTTCTGTTTTATTTCTGTTCTTTATCATATTCCAATCTTTATTTTCACTTTTTCCATATTTTCTCTTAATGAACCAAAATTTTCCCATATTTTAACACTATTTTATGTAATTTATGCCCACACCATTCATATTGTTACAGTTATTATCATTTTGGAAGTCATAGTTGAAACCTGGTATTTCCTTTAGTGAAAAATCTAGTTGCTAGATTGTAATTTTTGCTGTTGCTAGCTTTTGACCCCACCATTCCTGTTTTGTGGCTATTAGTGCTAAAAATGTCATAGTTGGCATCTGGTATTCATTTTAATGCTATATATTGTTTGCTACTATTGTTGCTGTTATTTTTTTTTCTGTGAGATGCTAGAGATCTGGTATAACACTTTAACTTCATTGGGTAGATATGCATCTGAGCCACACACTCCACCCATTTAGGAGACAGCACATTTTCCTCCATATATTACCTAACTCTCTCAAACTTCAGCAACACAATATCACAAAGAATAGAAGAGAACCCCCAAACTGACAACCAGGAAAGACGATGGGGACTCAGTGCTCACTCATAAACATATTTTCTCATAGAAAAAGCAAAGAGAAATAACACAAAGTCTGTGAATACCACATCTATAAAGCGTTTCAAAATAGATTGCTCCTATACCCCTTTAATATATACAGAATTGTCAAGTCTAGAAAAGCAATTACAGAGGGTATACTCCTTATGCCCTTGAATATATAACACAATTTCATGACTTACCAGAAGGACTTCCCTCTTTTGGGATCTCATAGAAAGTGGAATTCTCCAGCTCCAATGCAATAAACACTATTGGAGTATACTAAGCTTGATATATGTTGTTCCCAAAATATTCTAGCTTTCAAGGTTTGTGTTGAAAAATCTGCCATTATCCTAATTGGTTTCCCCCTATATTTAATCTAATTCCTTCCTCTTGTGGCTTTTAAAATTCTCTTCTTATTCTGTATGTTGGGTATTTTTATTATAATGTGACTTATTGTGGATCTGTTGTGATTTTGTACATTCAGCATCCTGTAGGCTTTTTGAATTTGGACTTCCAATTCATTCTACATGTTTGGAAAGTTTTCTAATATTATTTCACTGAATAGACTTTTTCATTCCTTTGGTTTGTACCTGTATGCCTTCCTGTATCCTAATAGCTCTTAAATTTGGTCTTTTTATGCTATCCCATATTTCTTGAATTTCTGTTCATGGTTTCTTACCATTATCACTGTGTGGTCTATGTTCTTTTCAACTTTATATATTTTATCCTCATTATCTAATGTCCTATCTTCCAAGTGGTCTACTCTGCTGGTGATGCTTTCATTTGAACTTTTAATTTGGTTTATTGTTTCTTTCATTTCAAGGATTTCTGTTCTTTTTTTTTTTTTTCGAACCTCTGTTACCTATTGAGGTAATTTTTGCTTCCTGTATTGGTCAAAGTGATCTTTCACTGCCTGTATTTGCTCTCTTATATCTTCCTTGAGTTCACAGAACATTTTAACCATGCCAATCCTAAACTCCTTCTCTGTAATTTCTTCTGCTGTGGCTGCCAATGATTCTAATGATGTGGTGTCTTCATTTGTTTGGGGCACTTTCTTTCCTTGTCTTTTCATGTTGCTCTTGTGTCTTTCTTTCCAGCTCTGAGGGTCTGATGTGTTGTTGTTTTTACCCTATAGGTTTATACTGCTCTTGTAGGGTTCCAAGACCTCTCCTTTGTGGGAAAGGACAATGTTAACAGATCCCAATATCAACTATATAACACTTTTGAACAATTTGTTGTTATTACGACATTTAAAGTTTAGTCTCGATGTCTGCAATCGTTGCATTCAATTATTATCTAAAATATAATCAGTAGTTTTGTAAAAAGATTTCCAGTTTCTGATGGTGGACAATGAACTGGGGGTGGGGCATAGGACGATATGCTGAGGAGGTAGGATGTGAGGATAAAGAGCTAGTATCTTAGGGAGTGCAAAAGAGAAATCTAAGAAGAGGGTTAGTATCAAGGGAAGAGACAGGAAGTAATTTAGGGTAGACAAATACGTGGGAAGACAGTGGAGTACATAAAATACACATATATGTATTCAGAAAAATACAGATGTTAAAATAGTAAAATTAGAAGGGGGAAAGAAAAGTGAAAGAAGAAAAAGAAAAAAGGGAGCATATTCAACACCTCTATATTATATTATTCAGATAACTCAGTCCTCAAATCCTATTTCATCCAAAGTTCTTGGTTTCACATATGTTGGGGATGTAAGCGCCAGAGAATAGAGGGGTAGAAGAAAAAAACTTGAAGGAAGAAACCAGGTTTGTTGCTAGCTTTAGAGATCTGTGTCTTTCCTGCTTCTCTTCTCATCCAATAGGTGAGGTTGTTTGTTGTAAGCTGGTGTCTCTGCCCTCAGAATGGTGGAGGTAACCTAGGTGGGAAGACTGGTCCTGGTGCAGGGCACCTGGAAAGGGGAGTGGCATCCACCAGTCCCTGCAGAGAGACTGCACCTCACCTTTTGGACTCCTTGTATGACCTGAGTGCCCAGTCCTATCTTCCTATCTTACCTGGAGATTTCCCAGTTCCTGGTCTCTCTGTTAGGCTCCAAACTTTAGCCCCATATCCCTCTCCCTTATCAGTTCACAATTGAGGAAACTCATCCCAGAGCCCCCATAGGTGGGCCCTGGTCACACTGCACACCTGTGTTGGGAAGCTACTGTGCTGAGTTACCTCCACTGGGGAAAAGGGGAAGTACTAAAATACATTGCAAAACAAGTACCAGGAAACCTATACTATTAAACACAACTGGAAATATATTCAACAATTTACAACACCCTGATATCCAAAAACACTTCACCAAGAAAAGATTGTACCCTACAAAGTTCTTCACATAAAATTAGAAGATAAATCCACCTCAACAGATGCACTAACTTCAAAACTGAAAATATGAAAAATTGTGGTAAAGTGAAATATCCAAAGGTAAAACTCACAAGCAATGACTCCAAAGATATGGCATCATATAAAATGCTGGATAAATAATTCAAAATAATAACTATTTAAAAATAGGATTGAATACCAAGAAAATTCAGGAAAACTGAATGAATTAAGGAAGGAATTACAGAATATGAATGAGAAATTCAACAAAATAAGATCGAGATCTTGAAAAAACTGAGAAGAAATATTGAAAATAAAGGCAAGTAAATCAAATAAAAAATAGAGCTGAAATTAAAGTGTTTTTAATATGTTAGAGCAGGTAGAAGATATAATCTCAAACCTTAGAGGTAATGTCATTATTCAGACAGTATTTAAGAAAAAATGAAACTACAATAACAATATACAATATCTCTACGACATTATGAGAGTGAATTGAAGGCCCATAGATATTGAGTAATGAGAAAAGATAGAGTCTAATAGCATTAATAATCTACTCAGTGACATAATAAAAGAAAATGTTTGAAATTTTGGGTATGGAGATGAATATCCAGATATTGGAGGCATGTAGAGACCAAAATAGACAAGACCAGAAAAGAATCTCTTTATGACATATTATAAGTTAAATACTAAAAAATAGAAAAATAGGAGTTCATAACCCACTTGAATCAAAGTATTAAATATGATATATCAAGAACTATGTAATGTTTTGAACAACTAACAATAAAATAAATAAATAAATAAATAAAAGCTGCCAGAAAATAATGTTGAGTCACATTTAGAGGTAAACCAATAAGGATAATTATGATTTAGCTCAGACCCTATAATCCAGGAGGGCTTGGCATTAAATAATACAAACTCTGAAATAAAATATTGCCAATCAAGATTGCTATAGCCAACAAAGCAATCAGTCACAATGGAAGGAAAAGTAAAAACTTCCCAAGATAATGATAAAATAAAAGAATTCATTCTGTAACCCAGCACTACAGGAAATACTTAAAGAAGTACTACACAAGGGATACAAGATGGCAGGCCAGACAGAGGAAGCATTCTGTGTTGCTCCATGACCTGTGATTCAAGAAATGAGAATACTGCTTCTCTTGAGCAACATTACTGCTTTTGCACAGGAATCATGATACTGTGTCATGCAGGGCTTCAGGCCTCTACATCAGAGTAGGTTTCCCAAATACTCACCCATGCAGGACTACCAGGTGTCTGAGAGTGACCATAGGCATCAGCACCCACATAAAATTTCATCCACCCACCTGAGCAGAAATCCCAGATGCAGCTCCCACACAGGACACCTGACAGCTACCCAAAAACTGTCTCTTGCCTCAGTCTCCCAAGCAGCTGTGATTATAGGCATGTGCCACCACCCCATCTGGGTAATAATTTGAATGGACTAACTAGGTGTTCCTTACAGGCAGATGGGATATGGCTGGAGAAAATAGGTCTCTGAGGGTGTGACCTTGGAATCTATATCTGGCTTTCCTGGCCCCTCTTTGTCTCTCTGAGTTTCCTGACTACCACAATATGAACAATATTCCTCTTTCATAATGTCCTTTCTGCCTTATCGTGGGCCCAGAGCAATGGAGACAGATGACCATGGACTGAATCTCTGAAACTATGAGACTAAGTAAACTTTTATTTCTCTAAATTTTTCTAGTCAAGTAATTTGCTTACACCAACAAAAACAACAAACACAACACTTCTGATCTAAATAATACCATAAATCAAATGCACACAACAGAAAATTATAGGCTATTTCATCCAATAACAAGCAAATTCACTTTCTTCTCAATAGCTCATAGAACTTTCTCCAAAATAGATCATATTTTAAGTCACAAAACAAGTGTTTGAAAATACAAAATAATCAATATAATTACTTTTACCTTATCAGATCATAATGAAATTAAATTAGAAATAAACACAAAATTACATAAGCACATGGGGAATAAAAATTCTCTTTGGAAAAGAAATAGGTCTTAGATGAAATGATAAGAGAAAGTTTAAAAATTTCTAGATGGGGTAGAGAAAGAAGATGGGAAGGGAGGGGTGGGGAGGGGGGATGGTAGAGGATAGGAAGGGCAGCAGAATACAACATACACTGGTATGGCAGTATGTAAAAACGTGGATGTGTAACCGATGTGATTCTGCAATCTGTATACGGGGTAAAAATGGGAGTTCATAATCCACTTAAATCAAATGTATGAAATATAATATGTCAAGAGCTTTGTAAAATTTTGAACAACAAATAATAAAAAAAATCTAGAATCAAACAAAAATAGTGATACAACATTAAAAAATTCTGGGCCATTATGCAGAGTTATTGCTAAGAGGAATTTTATAGAAGTAGATGATTATATTTAAAAAGGAGAAACAAATCCTAAATAAACAATCTAATTTTATATCTTAATGTGCCATAAAAGCATGAACAAACTAACCCCAAAATGAGAAAAAGAAGTTCAGAGCCAAAATAAATGAAATAGTGTGGAGTGGGGTGGGGTGAGTATCAATGTAACAAATAGTTCATTCCTTGAGAAATTCAAAGATTGATAAAACCTTAGCCAAATTAGCCAAAAGAAAGAGTTTAGAGACCCAAATCAATAAAACTAGTGATGAGAAAGGCAATATCACTACAAACATTTTTTAAATCAAGAGGATCATTAGGGACTACTTTAAAAATTTGTATTCCAATAAACTGGAAAATCTAGAAGATAATGACAATTACTAGACATCTATGACTTATCCATACTGAGAAAAGAGAATATAGAAAACCTGAACAGAACATTATCAGGGAATGAGATTGAAGACATAAAAGAAGCTTTCAACAAAGACAACTAATGTCAATCATCATCAAATTATATCATAAAATAGAAAGGGAGGTAACACTTCCAAATTAGTTCCTTGAAACCAGTATCAGTATTATCCTGAGGAAAATATATGGACCAACATCTCTGATGAATATAAACACAAAAATCTTTACTAAAAATATTAGGAAAACGAATTTGAAAACACATTAAGGGATTGTACACTGTGATCAAGTTGAATTAATCCCAGGGATTCAAGTTAGTTTCAGCATATACAAATCAATAAATGTAATTCTCTCACTAAATTGCCCAAGGTGGCCTTGAACTTACAACGCTCCTGTTTTTGTCTCCTGAGTCACTGGTATTGCTAGGTTGACACTACTGCACCTGACTAGGTCATTATACTCTTAAAACCAGGAAACATATGGAAAATTCTCCCTAGTGCCCTGCACCCTTACTTACTAGGATTAAGGTAAAAAAAGACTCCACACCAGGGATCAAAGAAAAGAGACTCACTGTTGCAAAGAAACAATTTACCTAATTTCCAATATCTAACCCTATTTATTGGGTTAGATACATTTTTAGGAAAAGCTTCTTGTTCATTCCTTTATCCCCTTAAATTTAACCATGAGCTCAGATTTCAAATTACCTTTTTGCATAAAATTAAGCAGTTAAAAATTAACTTTTACTGGAATATGTGTATATCTGCTATATATACATTTTTGTGGCCTCAGTAAAAATTATAGCAATAAAGATCCCATGGTAATTTATGGTAATTTAAGATCACTGCCTTAAAAACAATTGTTCTATTATTTCATTCTATAATTATCATTGAACACTTACCATCTTGGGCCAATATAATCATCATGTAGGAGTCTCCTTCAAAATCTTAGGGAATGTTCCTTAGGCTCTAAATGTTATTAGATGTCTCTTCTCCTTTCATTTCAGATTTTCACATGCTGTATCCTTTTATGGCCTCATCCTCAACCTGCAGCACCTGGGGAGCAATATCTTCCTGTTCCAGGTTCTCTTTGGAGCCATCACGCTCACAGCCAGATTTGTTTCCCTTTGGACTCTGAAATACATGGGTCGTCGGACAAACCAGACACTGTTCTCATTCCTGGCCGGAGTCTCCATTCTGGTAAACACATTTTTGCCTCAAGGTGAGAGAGACAAAGGTTTGGGAAAAGAAAGTGTTTTCCTCATTCCTTAGGAATTACATCATCTTACCTGTCTGATGCCACAAAAATGTCATTAAAAACCAAAGGATTTTTTGCAGTTAATATAAAGGGTTGAAACCGATTATGGCAAGCACTTGGCAGGACTTAGGCTCCAACTGTGCCTATGTCCTTAAGGTATGGTTCAGAAACAAAGCTGTCCTGACCACATCCAAGATGAACCTGAATATCAGCCAATGGTACAAACAGTGTCTTTAGAAGAGGAGCTAACCACATGCCTCTGGCTAATGACACTTTTCATAACAATCCTGGAGGGGGTAGGCCATGCAATTGCATCTCCAAATGGGAATGTGATACTCTCCCTGGGACTCTTCCTGATTTTTAAGGCCTCCCTAACTCAATACATTTTTAGAAAAAGCTTCTTGAATTTAGTGAAATAAAAGTCCCTTGTCTTCAGACAGAAAGCAAGAGCACAGCAGGAGTAAGGGAATAATTTAATCTTAATATGTCTTCTAATCGGCTTTGTAATTTAGCCTTAGAGAAGAAATGAATAATGACTTCTACTTTTATGTGTAATTATAATGCACCAATTAAAAACAATAAATAAATGAAAGGAAGATCAGTAGAATAGAGCAAGGAGATCAGGGAGATGGAGAAAGAGAGTGAAAGGGGTTGAAATGGTACAAATTATGTCATATGCACTTATGAATGTATCAAAATTATCCCCACTATTATATATAGCAATAATGCACTAGGAAAAACACTAGAAACAAATTAAGAATATAACCCAACCTATTTTACTAACTTACCCAAATGATCTCATTAATGATTTGGGAATTTCAGTGGTCACCATACTCCACCATGTTCCCAGAGCAGGAAAATATTTTGTAGGATTTCAGACTGGAAGTCTCCATTCTTCTCTCCCACAGAAGTTTCCTGCCTTTCAGGAGAACTGTCCATATTCTTTTAAAGTCCTATTTTGGTTATTTTAGTGAATTTAAAATAATCTGTTTAACCTCTGTAAATTCAGTAATTCAAAAGTATGTGATTAATACCCAGTATGACATTATTCACTTCTGAATAGACTTTCTAATGTCAGGCTTTTAAAATCCTGAATTATTGCCTAGAACTTGCCTCTCTTCAGATTGTCCAATCCCTTTGTCACTGTGTGGAGGAGGACCTGCCCCACATCACACATTGTTCCCATACTCTTAGTTCTAAGCTGTTCAAGACACGGGCCATAAAATCCTCAGTTTTTGTTCACATATAGTTCTAGGCCCTTCAGAAAATTCCCTGAAAAAAATTGACAGAATTAATAAAACAAATATTTCCTGATTTCTCTATTCCCACCATTATGAGCAATACTCAAATGTGCATAGAAAATTGAAGCAAGAGATTTAGATCCTTTGGTTCAGTGTTTCAGCCCAGTGTTCAGCAGCTCATCAACCTCTCTGTCATCTCTGAGGGGTTGCATTTTGTCTGTCATTTGTTTCTCACCTGCAAACCCTACAACAGAATCACCTCACAATTAGTTAGTGAAAGACAGATTTCTTCAACCAAGATTTTTTTTATTTTCCCTGGTCTCTTCTCTCTAGAAATGCAGACTCTGCGTGTGTCTTTAGCAACCTTGGGAGTTGGATCTGTTTCTGCTGCCGGCACTGGTTTTACTCTCCACCAAATTGAGCTCCTCCCCACTGTATTCAGGTACAAGAGCTAAATGACCTTCTGTCTGTTTTCCAAAAAGGACTTTCTGAACTAATTAACACTTACTGCAGGGATAAAATTGAGGTTTTTCATGTTTCCAAGACATGAATTGTAATATAAATTTTAAAAGCAACTAATAATCCACAATTATTTAAAATAGACTTTATGCCTCGCAGTGTGCCAAGTCTTTTACTGCAGTTTTTAATTTAATCTGAAGAGCCACTCTACAGGATTGGTGCTATGAATATTCTTATTTTAATTATGATGAAACTGATTAATTAGAAATCGATAGTGCTCAATGTCACAATTAAGAGCTGGTTGTCAAAGCCCATGCGTTCAATAACTCTCCTGTATTGTCTCCCAAAATGCAATGGAGTTGACAAGTGACAATATATATACAGATTTGTACAAGATTTTCTTTGTGTTTTTTTTTTTATTTTCATCCTAAGGTCCACACTTTCAGGCATTGTTTCAGGATTCCAGAGAACAGGGGCAATACTGGCTCCTCTCCTGATGACCTTACTGGGGTATTCTCTCCGTCTGCCCTGGATCATCTATGGAGTCATCATCCTCTTTGCTGGCCTTGTTATCTTGCCCCTTCCAGAAACCAGGAATCAGCCTCTTGTTAACACCCTCCAGGATGTGGAAAATAAGTAAGCAGATGCCATGATCATCACCTGAGTAGGAAGTGACCATGTTCTATAGCTCTGTGATGAAGAAGCAAATGACCACTTGCAGCCATCTGTCCTACACATAGACTCAGATCTGAGCTATTTCTGCTTGACCCATGTCTTTAATTCAGTAGCAGCTCTCCTCTACCCACAAAGCTGTATCACTCCTCTTGAGTCTAGATCACACAGACCATCTTGCACCAGTCCTTTAATAGTGAAAAGGTCAAAATTAGTCCTACTGTGAAGGGCACACACTCTCTGCCCTTAAGGAAAGCCCACTTCTGGTGTTTTCTTGTAAATATATGAAGACTCAAATACTTAATTATCATACTTGTAGTATTATCAGGCATCAGTCCAATGAGTGCTCAATATATTATGGGGAGGAAATGAGCATACCTCAAAGATACAAACTTGATTACTGCATCATTCAGGAAGGATTGTGGGACTAAAACAGAGCAACCTTACTTACAAAGATAACACTATATCTAAAGGAAGTGGATTCTATAAGATTTAATCCAATTTAATGTCATATATAGTGAAAATTTTAAGGAGAGAGAGAAACTGAAGATATGGGCTGACAGAATTTGAAATAAGGAAAAATGAAAAAGTGCCCTCAGAAATTTTTAATTTCCCTTTGATATTTTCCCCCCAAAAAATGTCATTGACCAAATGTCTAAATTGACAAAGGTAAGAGTAGCAATACTCAAATCTGTCTTCCCAGGCATTCCTAGATATCAAGGCCTTTCCCAGCACAATGGTGTCTAGGGAGTCTTGAGATAGAACAATATCATGTAGAACTTGATACAAAGCTCATAATCTAGCATGGAGGATATGTGCACTTATTCTACATCTTTGCTTCTTTTTTTCTTCTTCTTCCCAGCGCAAAATATTCAAGAAAAGTAAAGCAGGAAGATACTTCCACAAAAGTAACACAGTTTTAACAACTTTCCAAGAGTTGATCCAGGGAAGAAAAAAATAAGGAATTAAAAAGTCAAGATTCTTCTTTAGGCCAATAAAACTAGTCAAAAATTTAATGGACAAATGGATGCTACCTAAAATCACTCAATATATAAATTTTCTCAAAATAATTTATGAGTTCATGTAATTTCACCAAACAATTGTTGGTTTGAAGGAAGACGTTGCAAAAACAGTTTGAAGTTCATCTTGAAATTAATACTAGAAAAAGAAGCCTTTTTTCCATGATTACTTGGTATACATCCAAAAGAGAGTTTATATGCCAAAGAGATACCTGCACTTCCATGTTAAATGTAGCACACCTCAGTGTCCTTCAAAGGATGAATAGTTTAAGAAAGTGTATTATATTACATGAAATAGAACACTACTCAACCACATAAATGAAGAACATTCTGATATTTTCAATAACACAAGTGGACTGGGAGGAGATTATGTTAAGGGATGTAGGAAGTACAAACAGAGAATGACAAATACCACATAACTCACTCATGTGTGAAACCTGAAAATGTTGATCTCAAAATACAGTAGGATTGTGATTTCTAGAGACTGGGGCACTGGGGTAGGGGGAGTGTTCAAAAGATACAAAATTACAATTAGTTAGGAGAAGTAAGTGAAAGAGATCTATTGGGCAAAATATTGACTATAGTTAATGACAGCATATTGTATTCTTGAAAAAAGCTGAAAGGATGGCTGAGTGCTATCACCACAAAGAAATGAGGTAATGCATGGTTAATAAGTTACTTTCATCATTACAAAATGCACATGTACTGCAAAACATCATGTTGCAAAAATAAATACATATAATTTTGTATGTCACTTTGAATAGATAAAATTTGAAAGCAAGAAAAGGAAAAGGAGTAACAAAGAGGCTGGCTCATATATCATGAAACATGTGCTACATTTTATCAAATTACAGGAATCCAAACAGTAATAGTAAATGCCACCACAAATCATAATAATTCCAAAAAACATACTCATATATAAATAAACACTTAATATATGAAAGTTTTGGCACCAAAAAAACACTTATCAATTGAAATATTCTGTAGTAAATAATATTAATTAGCTATCTGGGAATAAATTTACAAAAATATTTGCAATGATTCTATTTGTGATAATATTTTATTGTTTTTCCCCTGGATTTTTTCTGGCTTCACACTTTAAACAAATAATATGAATCACTTTAAAATATTATACATATTATCAGATACTAAATAACTATTGAAATGATTGATGACTTCAACATATACATATGTATATTTATTTAATATATAATTAGGAATAATATTATACTTCAATGCAAAAGTGGCAAAACAAGAGCAAATAATTCTCAGAGGGAAAAAGCCACTTGAAAATAAGTATAAGAAAAGATTTCTAAATTTGTGATCAAATAAATACACACTAAAATTAAATACCAACTTTTACTTGCCAAAATAACAAAAAATTCTTATACTTATTCTTTATTCTGCTAGCAGTTTTGGTATAGTAAAATAAAAACTCATACAACACATTATCTCAATACAAATTGCAAAGCCATAGTGATCAAAAGAATATGGTACTGGTATAAAAACAAACACACACAGCAATGGAACAGAACAGAAAATCCAGAAATTAATTCTCATATTTATAGACATCTAATATTTTACAAAGGCACCAAGAACATACCTTAAAGAAAAGATCGTAAAACACTTCAAGACATTGAAATTGAAAAAAAAAATGGATATATCCTCCCAATGCACCAAGAGTGAAAGCAAAACTAGACAAGATAATATCAAACCAAGAAGTTTCTGTGCAGCAAAGGAATCAGTCAACAGAGTCAAGGCAAGCTACAGAATGGGAGAAAATATTTATAAACTACTCATCAAAAAAGTGGTGATTGAAAGGTGAGTGACTCACCTGAGATGGAGATTCAACCAAGAGATTTATTGGGGGTCTGTCCGAAGGGGAAGAAAAGGGGAGTCAGCTGAGAGAGGAGAGGAGGAGGTCAGAGAGGAAGAGAGCAGAGAGAGAGAAAGAGTAAAGAGAGGAGAGAAAGAAGACAAAGAGGGCAGAGAGTGTGAGCTTGCAAACTTCGGCTTAAGAGGGGTTGCATAGGTGACATGGTGGGTGCTGATTGGCAAGGTGACCCAGGAACTGCTAGCAGACACTGTGTCTCATGGGGATTGGATGAGAAAATATTTGAATTTGATGCTCTTCAGCTTTGCACCCTTTAGAGAGGAGGGGAGGGGTAAGGGATTATGCAAGACTGAAACTTAACTTCAGTGGGGAGTCTCTCACACACCCAACAGTGATGATTGAGTGATAACCACTCAATAACATAGAAAAAGTGACTTTAAAATAGGCAAATGGTCTGAATAGATGTTCCTCAAATGGTCAACACTAGTCATTAAGGAAATGAAAATCAAAACTACAATAAGGTATCATTTCACCTAGTTAAAATGGATATTATCAAAAAGACAAAAATTACAAATGCTAGCCAAGATCCAGAGAAGGGTTAAGTTTCATACACTGTTGATGGGAATATTAACTGGTATAGCCATTGTAAAAAATGGCATGGTGAGTGCTCAAAAAACTAAAAGTAGAATTACACCATGATCCAGTAATCTCACCAATAGGTTTATTTTTATATATATATATATATCTCCAAAAGTAAGGATATCATTCTATCAATGAGATATCTGCATTCTTATGTTTACTACAACACTATTCACAAAGACAAGTTATGAACTTAGCAAGATGTCAAAGATAATCATTTGAGTGGAATTTTAAATGAGGGGATCTGGGGGAGTGTGGTGGTCTATGAGGCTCACTGCTAACCATGTAGCAGTAATCTCCCTGAATCAAATAAAGCCACAGATGGGGCCTGGCCAGCAGCAACGTGGCCTGGGCTTTTGCCTCCCTCCAGTTCCCTAGAAGCAGGTGGCACCCAGCACTGAAGCAGAAAACCAGAGGTGTCTCTTCCTGAATCTCAGCCTGGGCCAGAGGAAGATAGGCAACTCGGGTGGCCAGAGAGGGTCCAGTGCCCAAGAATAGGAATTCTATTCACTCAGACATGGAGATGAGTTAATTGCCAAGAGCACAAAGTTATCATTGTTGAGTTGGATAATGCAGAGAAAACCAACATTCTTTACAAATTTTCTGTTAATTAAGTTGTAAATATTATCATAAAAGGTAATGTAGAAGAGAGGATGGTGAAAATACACATTACCCATGTTGGATATTAATGGCCAGAAGGTTAATTCGTTTCCCCTGGAACACTTATTATGCTGACATAGAGTTTGTAATAGCTGTTGTGGACATAAAGATGGCTTCTGTAACTAGAGAAAAACACTGTAAAAATGTTCAGTGCATCAGAACCTAAAAATAACTAGGATTATTAATTTTGTTAATAATCAAGATGTTAAAGAATTCATGGCTGTAGCAAAAATCTCTCACTTTTTGAAAAAAGGTGAGGTTAACTTTTCTTCCTTTTGAAAAGGTTTAGGTCAGTTTATGATAAATATATCTAAACCATTAACTTTTGCAGCCCTTTGGTAAAACCCAGCCTTTTATTGATAAAGAGCCTATGGAAAGGTCTGGGTATATAACTTAGCTGGTAGAGTGCTTCCCTTGCATGCACAAGCCCTGGGTTCAATCCCCAGCACCACAAAAAAAGGTCATTGTATATAGGACAGTAGAGATCTCCTCATCTTTGTATGTGATATCATCCATTCAAGAATCACCATGTCAATGGGAACTCTTATTAGAAATTGATGGATATATATAGATGAATAGTTTAGATATATTTATCTAGGTTCGGGATATAGCTCCGTTGGTAGAGTGCTTGCCCCCCATGCACAAGGCTTTGGGTTCAGTCCCCACCAACAAACAAAATTAAATATATTTATCTAATGTTTTAGGTATATTTATCACAATCTGACCTAAACTTTTTTGATACATATACTTATTATAAGTTGATTTATATTTTTTGATAGGAAGAAAAATCAGCATCATTTATTTGAAAACAAAGAT